AAAAAAAAAGAATTGATTTGCTGGCATTTTAACGTGCCACCTGTCATTTAACTGACAGAAGGACTATTTTGGTACCAAAACTAAAAGTTTAAGGATAATTTTGGTACTTTTTAAAGATGAGGGACAATTTTAGTGTCAAAGTGAAAAGTTGAGGGACTAAAATGGTACTTAAACCTATTCTTTATTGTTTAGTTGATACATATTGCTAAGTATTAAGGCAGAGCATTCCGGTTGTAGTTCCTGATTCATTTGCTAATTAAAAAAAGAAGTAGAAATCCATGTGTTGAAACACAACATGTTGGTTAAGCCCCCATTTGGTCCCTCAACTATTGTATGGATCCCCGATTTGGTCCCTAAACTAAAAAATCCTTGATTTAATCCCTACTATTTACCATTTTAACCCCAACCTTGATCCTTCCGTTAAAAATCCGCTTGTGTCCCGTTACGTGATAGAAAAAGATGATATGTTAAAGTAGCTTGACACGTAGGATGTACAACATGGCAAGAAAAACAATGACAAGGCAAGAAAAAACCTTAAAATATTTCTTTTTCCCTCTTTTTTTTTTCTTTTCTTCCTTTGATTTTCCTTTTTCCCTTTCTTCTTCGTCTTCCTTTCCTTTGCCCTCTACAGACCCTAACACCTAATATTAAATCCAAAGATAACACAAACATAAATCCAGAATCTCCCCAAAATAATCACTGGTTTTAAATTCTTTCTTTCAGCCTCCGAAAAAACCCAGAAAAATCAAGGCACATTCTCCCAAATTTCTAAAAAAAAAAAAAAAAAACTAAAGCATCTTTTGAGTTTTTCGAACCTAGCAGATCTACTGGGTTTCGAACCCCTAGCAGATCGGTAGATTGTTGGGTTTGAGAACCTAGTAGATCAGCAGATCACTAAGTTTGACCTCTGTATTCTGGTAAAAAAGTCTCCAATCATAAGTAGCCATATGCAAATTTTTCCCTTATAACCAAATTTTGCCAAATTCTCAATGAGAATAGCCCAACAAAATATCAATTAGCAAAATAGTCAGTTGCAACCCAAAAATATCCCTAAAATTCAAGCTTCTAAACATAAGGGGCCAAAAAAAAAAGATCAAACCTAGCAAATTGTTGGGTTCTCGAGAACCTAGCAGATCACTGGGTTCGATTAATTGAACCTAGTAGATCATTGGATTCGATCGAACCCACCTAGCAAATCTGCTGGGTTTCAAAGAGGAGATGATTAAAAGGAGATGAGAGATGATTAAAGGAAAAGATGATGAGGAGATGAGAAAAAGAGATGATTAAAACCCAAGTCGGCAAACAAGGATCCAGGGGAAGAAGATGAACAACGAAAAAGGTTGGAGATGAAAAGTAAGGGGTAACGAAAGGAGGAAGGAAAGAAAGTGATGTGTGGTTGAAGATGATGGTAAAAATGTAATTTTATCTTTATAATTTAACCTTTAATTTTTAGTTGAAAATTACAAATCAAGTATTTTTTACCACATTGTCAATCTTTCGTGTCAAGAGACTTTAACATGTCATCTTCTTTTTCCGTCAAGTAACAGGACACATAAGTGGATTTTTAATGGAATGACCAAGTTGAGGTTAAAATGGTATACAATAGAGACTAAATCTAGGATTTTTTTAGTTTAAGGACCAAATCGAGGGTCCGTACAATAATTGAGAGACGAAAATAGACATTTAGCCTAACATGTTTTATCTCAAACCCTTAATCTTTCAAAATCTTGTCATACGAAAAGTTGATAGAAAAGTGTTGAATCCTCTTATCCTCAAACAAAATTCATAAGACAATTGTATCGAATTAACATAGCCAAAATGGTTTCATCCCTAACTTAAATGCCTAACAGAACAATAGAATCTTAATATTAGATAGGTCATAGAACAACATTGTGCAGTATTGATTACAAAACTATAAAATAATCCTAATATTCCAAAGGAGAAGGAAATAAGAAAATCAATTAAAGTGAAGATTCAAATATTAATCAGGAAATAAATAGGAAATAAACAAACATAACCAAAGAATTTAACTTTCAAAATTATAAATTACATTTAGACCTTATGCTAAATAAATAGAATCAATCCTGAAATAATACCAATTAAATCTAATGTATTTGCTTTGTGCATCAATCCCCATGAATATAAGTGAGAAGTTATCTTCCTAACCTACTGTTTTTAATTCTTTTTTTTACTATTTTGCTATTCTTATTTGAATTAGATGAATGCTATTATGAAATGAAGGGAGTAGCCTTTGCTCTTAAATAAAATACTTTCCTACCCTGCGTCTTTATGGCTAAAAGTGTGTTTATTAACAGTATTAT